GGCACAGTCTCCACACCGCACGAGGTGCGCAGGGGGTGGGGGCGCTATGCGTGCCAGGGCCCCACGGCGCGGCAGGCGTTGCATATTTTCCAAACCGCAGAGGGTGCGCAGGGAGTGGGGTCGCTATGCGTGCCAGGGTCCCATGGCGTGGCAGGCGTGGTACATCCTCCACACCGCACGGGGTGCGCAGGGGGTGGGGTCGCCATGCGTGCCAGGGCCCCACTGCGTGGCAGGCGTGGTACTGTGTCCACGCCGCAAGGTGTGCGCAGGGGGTGGGGTCGCTATGCGTGCCAGGGCCCCAGAGCGTGGCAGGCGTGGCACAGTCTCCACACCGCAGGGGGTGCGCAGGGGTGTGGGGTCGCTATGCGTGCCAGGGTCTCAGGGCGCGCAGGGGGTGGGGTCGCTATGCGTGCCAGGGCCCCAGTGCGTGGCAGGCGTGGCACAGTCTCCACACCGCACGGGGTGCGCAGGGGGTGGGGTCGCCATGCGTGCCAGGGCCCCGCTGCGTGGCAGGCGTGGTACTGTGTCCACCCCGCACGGGGTGGGGCCGCTATGCGTGCCAGGGCCCCAGGGCGTGGCAGGCGTGGTATATTCTCCGCACCGCAGGGGGTGCTGCGGGGGGCCGCTATGCGCCCCAGGGCCCCAGGTCGCGGCAGGCGTGGCACAGCCTCCACACAGTAGGGGGTGCGCAGGGGTGTGGGGCCGCTATGCGCGCCAGGGTCCCAGGGCGTTTCCCCCCACATGTGCCGTGGGGTTTGGGTTGTCATCCCCACATGGTTGGTGGGTTAACCCCCACATGTTTAGTGGGTTTCTGGTTTTCTTCCCATCTGTGTCGCACCCGCGTCTCGCCCACACCCCCGCTTCCCTCCCCTTGTTCTTGTTATTCTTCCTGCACCCGCGCGCCACACACACACACACACACACACACACACACGCACACGCACACGCACACACACACACACACACACACACACACACACACACACACACACACACACGCGCACGCGCACGCACACGCGCACGCACACGCGCACGCACACGCACACGCACACGCACACGCACACGCGCACACACACACACACACAAACACACGTTTGGCGTGCGTGCGCACGTACACGCACACGCACACGCACACAAACACACACACACACACAAACAATCACACACACACTTCAACATCGCTAGTACACGCCTTGCGTGTTCACTGCATCGTACACCCAAGAGATATGCACAACAACGCTAGTGCATGCCTGGCGTGTTCATTGCATCGTGCACCTCATCTATAATTATATATATATGTGCAGAACATACTGGGCAGCAACATGGCCACACGCCCCGAGACTGTCCCATACGCAGCAGACACATACACATGAACAACCATACACAAAAGACGTATGTCGCAGGACCTAGCAGTCGTGGCACTTTCTCAACCCCAGGGAGGGTGCGCAGCGGGTAGTCTCTCCCCGCGGTTTCTATACGCGCCAATGCCGCACGGCCTAGCAGGCGTAGCACTAGCTCGACGTCAGAGGGGGTCCGCAGGGGGTGGTCTCTCACCGCGGCCCCTATACGCGCCAATGTCGCAGGGACCAGCAGGCGTGGCACGCTCTCGACGCCACAGGGGAGGCGCAGGAGGTGGCCTTTCACAGTGGCCTTTTTACGCGCCAATGCCACAGGGCCTAGCAGGTGTGGCACTTCCTCGACGCCAGAGGGGGGGGGGCGCAGGGGTGGTCTCTCACCGCGGCCCCTATACGCGTCAATGCCGCACGGGCTAGCAGGCGTGGCACCTTCCCGGCGCCAGGGATGGTGCACAGGGGTGGTCTCGTACCGCGGCACCTATACGCGCAAATGTCACAGGGCCTGGCAGGCGCGGCACTTGCTCGACGTCAGAGGGGTGGGTGGGCGCAGGTGGGGGGGGCCCCTCGCCGCGGCTTATATACGCGCCAATGCCGTAGGGCCTAGCAGGCGTTGCACGTTCTTTCTCGACGCCAGAAAGGGGGGGCGCAGGGGGTGGTCCCTCACAGCGGTTTCTACAATCGCCAATGCCACAGGGCCTAGCAGGCGTGGCATGTTCTCGACGCCAGAGGGTGTGTGCAGGGTGTGTTTCTATACGCGCCAATGTCGCGGGGCCTAGCAGGCGTGGCACGTTCTCGACGTCAGCGATGGTGCGCAGGGGGTCGTCTTGCACCGCGGTCCCCTTACGCTCCCATAGTGCAGGGCCTGGCAGGCGTGGCGCTTGCTCGGCGCCACGGGGAATGCGCAGGGGGTGGTCTCCCACCGCGGTCTCTACGCGCGCCAATGTCGCAGGTTCTAGCAGGCGTGGCACTTTCTCGACACCAGAGGGGGTGCGCAGGGGGTGGACCCCCACCGCTGTCTCTATCCGTCCCAGGGTCACGGGGCGTGGCAGGCGTGGCACTTTCTCCGCACTACGGGGGGTGGGTAGGGGGTGGTCCCCCACCGCGGTCTCTATCCGTCCCAGGGTCGCGGGGCGTGGCAGGCGTGGCAATGTCTCCACACCAGAAGGGGGTGCGCAGGGAGTGGTCCCCCACCGCGGTCTCGATCCGTCCCAGGGCAGCGAGGCGTGGCAGGCGTGGTACTCCCCCCACACCATAGCAAGGGGGTGCGCAGGGGGTGGTCCCTCACCTCTGTCTCTATCCATCCCAGGGTTGTGGGGCGTGACAGGCGTTGCATGTTCCTTACGCCACAGGAGGTGCGCAGGGGGTGGTCCCTCACCTCTGTCCCTATCCGCCCCAAGGTCGCAGGCGTGGCACTTTCTCGACACCAGAGGGGGTGCGCAGAGGGTGGTCTGTCATCGCGGTGTCTACGTCCCAGTCGCCCATCCAGAGAAGAAGTGGCACTTTCTCGACACCAGAGGGGGTGCGCAGGGGGGGGTCTCGCATCGCGGCCCCTGTGCATGTTACGGTCGGGGAGCGTGGCAGGCGTGGCTTTTTTTCTCGACACCAGACGGGGTGCGCAGGGGGTGGCCTGCCATCGCGGTGTCTACGCCCCAGTCGCCCATCCAGAGAAGAAGTAGTACTTTCTCGACACCAGAGGGGGTGCACAGGGGGTGGTCTCGCATCGCGGCCTCTATGCGTGCCAGGGTCGGAGAGCGTGGCAGGCGTGGCAGCTTCTCGGCACCAAAGGGGGTGCGCAGGGGGTGGTCTCCCACGGCGACCCCTATGCGTGCCAGGGTCGGAGAGCGTGGCAGGCGTGGCATTTCCTCGACACCTGAGTGGGGTGCGCAGGGTGTGGTCTCTCACCGCGGCCTCTACGCGTGCCATGGTCGGAGAGCGTGGCAGGCGTGGCACTTTCTCGACACCAGAGGGGGGGCGCAGGGGGTGGTCTCTCAGCGCGGCCCCTGTGCATGTCAGGGTCGGAGGGCGTGGCAGGCGTGGCACTTTCTCGACACCAGAGCGGGTGCGCAGGGGGTGGTGTCCCACCGCTGCGTCTACAAATCCCAGTCGTCCATGCACAGAAGGCATGGCACGTTCTGGACATCACACGGGGTGGTCCCTCACCGCGGCGTGCGCCGTCCGCCTGCCCACTGCCTCGAGACTCGTGTGCCGTCCGCCTGCCTACCTATAGCCCCGCTCTCTTTTGTGGTCGCCATGACTCAGGCTGTTCGCACGGCGCGTCAGTCTCCCAAGGCTTGACCAGCGCCACCAACGGTATCGGCGAAGCAACGGCCACCAGCAGCATTCTCGCAAACTTCACGTCAGCTATCATCACGCCAGACATGGTATGCGTATGTGGGGTTCCTCGCTAGCGTAATGTGTGCCCTCGGGGAAGTATAGAAAACCTTTTCAGATGGCCAGCGGATGTCCGAGCCTTCTGAGAAGGCCCGCCCCATCTCACTGGCCCCCCCAGGTCGCCGCCGATATGTGTAATATTGGCCGAGTTGGCAGCATGCGGCTTCGAGCACGAACCGTGTGGAACCGTTTGCCCACGGATCTCGCTCAAAGCATTGTGTGGTCCTTTGGCGCGCAACTCAGTGTCACCGACCCCGGGCGCGTTTCTGGCGCTGCGCAGTGGCGGTTCACACGGATAGGCAATATTGTTTCCAGTGTAAGTCCCGATTGGGTATGCCGCCTGCGCTCCTGAAGAAGTCGGCGCGATCCTCCGATGTGTGTGGGGCAGGACGGAGGAGGACGAGAAGGAGGTGGGAGAAGGACAAGATGGTGGAGGTAGAGGGACAGGGACGAAGAGGAGGGTTAAGAAAGAGGAGAACGAGGAGATAGGGAGAGGAAGGGGAAGGGGATGCGGAACGGGAGGGACTTCAGGAGTCGAAGACGGGGGTGAAAAGGAGGAGGAAGGGGAGTGGAAGGATGACGGGCATAAGCTGAAGGAGGAGGAGGATGAGGAGGGGCTGGAGGAGGAATGTTCTTCCACTCTCCCCCCCTCAGTCCTCTGCCGCCCCTGCCCCCAGATCCTGCTTTTTCTCATCCTCCACATCGGCCTCCGTCTCTTTCACTGTCTCGTCATCCTCGCCCTCCTTCTCGCAATCAGATTCCTTCATCCCCTCTTCCTCGTCATCCTCGCTAGCACTCTTCTCCTGACTCTGGTAGACACGCCTGATGATGACAAGTTCTGAGGCGAGCTTCCTGACACTACGTCATGAAAATAATTGGAGGTTGCGTCCTTTATGGTCCCAGGGTCATCGAAGATCAGCGCGATGAAAGCACGTCGCCCCAGACCCTGTTTGTGCAGCATGCTTGCAGACCAGGCTTGCAGAGGGGTGGGGCTCGAGAGGAGGACGAGGAGGATAAAGAGGAGGAGAAGGAGGAGGAGGAACAGGAGGAGCAACAAGAGGAATAATCATAATAATAGTCATAGTAATAAGACGAAGAAGCCACTAAGAAGAGGGGAAAGAGGAGGGAAGAAGAAGGAGGTCGCAGGAGGAAGGGGGGGAGCAGGAGGGAGCAGGAGGGAGGACGAGGAGGAGGGAGGAGCAGCAGGAGGAGGAGGAGGAGGCGAAGCTCGAGAAAACTGGCCCGCGCCCACAGCATCTTCCACGCCTGGGACTTCTTCATCGACCCCGGCACGCAGACCGGCATCGACCCGGAGCGGTGCGTGTCGGCCCCGGGCCCAGCTTCGCGGCCAGCTGCTGGCTCTCTTCGCCACGGCGGTGTGCACGCTCGGGGCGGTGGTGGCCGACCGCGCCCCTGGAGCGACGGCCGGTGCACAGACAGACAGACAGGCACAGACCGACAGGCAGAGGTAGGGGAACGAAAAATGGCGTAAACATAAAAGCTCGGAGGTCCGCGCGGATGTCTTGGGTCGGTGCTGGACCCCCCTCCCTTGCCAGGGGCGGCGCCGGAGGCGCCGCCAGGGGGTGTCCAGCGCGGATTCGAGAAATCCACGCTGACCTCCGAGTTTTTATGTTTATGTCATTGCTCTTTTCCCTAAGAGAAAGAGAGAGAGAGAGAGAGAGAGAGAAAGAAAGAAAAAAAAAAAAGAGAAAGAGAAAGAGAAAGAGAAAGAGAGAGAGGGACCCAGAGATCGACGCATCGAAAAACTCAAGACGGGCGGCTGTCACAGTTTTCGGCACCCTCGCCGGGCCCCATGGACTGTTGAAACACGACTCGGGATGGCAAGCTGGTCCTGGAGAAAGGGTCGAGCCTTCTGGGGACCCCGTATGCAAAAAAACACGGCAGCGGATCTCTGGGAACAGGGATCGGGCGGGGCTAGGGCGGGGATGCGTTGTTCCAGAGCTCTCAGAGCGTGCGGGGGCGCTCTGGAACGGCTGCGGCGCCCAACACATTCTCCAGAAACGCTTCCCAGACATGCGACGTCCTGATTTTCCAGGACGGTGTCCCTGGAAGTCCCGACCCCTTCCCCTCGTCCCGAGTCTTTTTTTTGACGGGCCCAGAGCCTGGCGAGGGCCCCTGGGGGCCGAAAATTGAGAGAAACCGCCCGTCCTGATTTTTGTTTACGACGCGAGCATGTCTGAGTTGACGTCAGAGATCTCCGATGCGTACTGGTCCGATCTTGTCTCGGCCCCGGCTTCGCCTGAACGTAGGGCTTCCTGGAGGCTTCTCGTCGCCACGGCGAGCTCCGCCCGCACCGAGTGAACGGGCTAAGGGGATCGGGTTTGACATATTCTGGGGGCCGGTCGGGAGAGCCGCCGTTGTCTCACCTGGCCTCCTCCGAGGAGAGGGGTGGGGAGAAGGAGAGGGGACGGAGGAGGCCAAGGGTCGGGGAAGCGTAAGGCTCGAGTGCGCTGGAAGTCGGGCCTGCCGTCGCTGTCTGACGAGCGTGTCTTGGGTTTTGACGGTCCAGTTCTCGTGGGGCGTTTGCAGCGGGAGCGCGCGTCAATTTTCAGACCGGGTCTCGTCATGTTCATGATGGCGCCGTCAGGCCAACCCGAGCCCCCCGAACCCAAGTGTTGTACGTCTCCCCGAAAGGAGGGTAAGCGGGCAAGGCGGGGGGGAGGGGAGGGGAGGGGACGCCCTTCTGGGCGACGAACACTCTGCAACGGCAAAATGTTCATGTCAATTGGCATCCTCCGAGGAGAGGGTGGGGAGAAGGAGGTGGAATGGAGGAGGCCAAGGAGGGGAAGCGAGCAAGGCGGGGGGTGGAGGTTTTTCTCCGAAGGGCTAAGGCGACCCGTCCTCCTCCTCCCCCCCCCCCCCTCCTCTCCTCCTCCTCCTCCTTCTCCTCCTCCTCCTCCTCCTCCTCCTCTCCTCCTCCTCCTCCTCCTCCTCCTCCTCCTCCTCCTGCCCCTCATCGTCCTCCTTCTCCGTTCCTCCTCCTTCATCCTCCTCTTTGTCCTGCCCGCCCCCCCCCCTTCCCATTTGTAAGGCCAAGCTGGTCGCCATGCTGTTCAGCATGCTGGGGTTTATCTGGAACCTCGTCCTTCTCGGTATCATAGTCGAGTCCGCGCGGAGGACGTGCTTTGAACGCGCAGACATGCACCGTGAACCCTCCTATCCCGCGCGGATGGGGGACAATATTCCTCTTACTCGGTTCTCCTCTTCCTCCTCCTCCCTTCTTCCTCCTCCTCCTCCTCCTCCTCCTCCTCCTCCTCCTCCTCCTCCTCCTCCTCCTCCTCCTCCTCCTCCTCCTCCTCCTCCTCCTCCTCTCCTCCAGCTCTTTCTCGTCCTCCTTCTCCATCAGTCACTCTCTGACGGGTCGTGCCTCTCTTGGAGTCCCAGTTGGGCCAGAGGGCACCCTTCCTGCAGAGCTGGCGCGGTCATGGCCTGCGGCGCCATGCATCCAGATCCGATTAGTTTCTCATTGCTTAGTCTCTTAGTCGCAAGGCTACTCGAACCGTCGAATCTCACGAGTTCTGGTCTGGTATGGCCCTCCTCCCCCCCACGTGTTTTTTTGTTCGTGACGTGTAGAGGCTCTGGTCTCGGACTTGCTGGTGAAGCGTGCGCTGAGAGCAGACTGAAGTATGCCGTCGTCCCTGGCCCCGTGCCGCCTCAGGATCATCAGTATTGCACCGTGTCTCATGTGTTCTTGTCGACTGCCGTTGTGTCTGCCGTTCCCGATGGCTCCGTCGCGGCGGCTGACAATCCCAGCGATCACGGCGTCGAGAGGGGCATGAGGCCGCGGGGTCTGGCAGTGGTCGTGACGACTCCTCTTCTTACGCTCGGCGGCCAGCCCAGAGGGAAGTGAGAGTGGGCAGGCCTTCTCAGAAGGCTGCGGGGCTCCTCAGAAGCCCTCGCGCCGCCTGAGGAGTCCTGTAAGCCCTCTCGGAGGCCACGGACGGTTTCACCATTCCCTTTTTGAGAAGTGCCTGCGCTGAACATATCCCTACCCCTGAGAGTGGTGTCACCTCATCCAGGCGCCGATCCTGAGGATTCCCTCCGTTTCTGAAGGCGCATCCCTAAGGATGCCACCGCCTCAGGTCTTGTCAAGCTTAGGTACGGCAGGTTCGCGTCGTGTCGACACGCGGTGACCCCGCCGCCGGCGTTCAACGTTGAACGCCGCCGGCGAACCAGAATCGGTCGATATTGAAAGATCTGACGTTTCGAAAACGGCCGATGGTTCAAGGTTCAACGATCCCCGCGGTGTCAGAAACGAGCGCCAGGGTCGACACGACACGAACCTGCTGTAGAGGGACAACCTCGGAGCTGGTCAGAGAAGGCCTGCCCCTCCTCCCTTCCCCCCTGGGCTCGCCGCCGAAACGCTGGCCTCCTCTCCCCTCGTTCTCGTCCTCGTTGCTCCCGCTGCCCCGCGCGTGCGCGATAGGCGGGGGGGTGGGGGGCCCTGCCGATGCGAGGGGGGGGGGGGGCGGGGGGCTAGGAAAGGGGGAAGGATGAGATTGAGGGGGAGGAGGAGGAGGAGGAGGAGGAGGAGGAGGAGGAGGAGGAGGAAGAGGAGGAGGCGACGGAGGAGGAGGAGGAGGAGGAGGAGGACCAGTGCAAGCCCAACAGGCATCAACAATGTTGGAGCACACCCTCTGTCCAAGCTCCCTCTTCATAGGCCCCTACAGATGTTCATGTGTTTACGGAGGGAGCTGCCTCCTTGGAAGACAGTTATTTGAAGAACCTGAAGTATGCCAAGACATTGTTCTCGGGATTCCAACCCCACGGAGTAACCTGACTGTTGCATCTTGACGATACTGAATACTGCCAGAACGCCATTCCTGGGACTCGAACACCGCGAATCATCGTAACTTGTGCACCCTCGTAAGCCTGAATCCTTCCAAAACACCATCTCTGGTACGCTGATCCTAAGAATCCGTGAAATTCTTGCAACTGTTTAAGACGAGTGTGCGCGGCGCTAGGGCGAGAGCCACTTGTTGAAAAGGAACCGCCCTCAAACCTTGAAGCTCTTGCATGTTTTACAAAGACGAATGTGCGAAGGCGAGAGCCACATGTTGAAAACGACACGCCTTCAATCCGCGAAACTCTGGCAAGTGTTGAAGACGAGTGTGCGCGGCGCTAGGGCGAGAGCCACATGTTGAAAGCGACTCGCCTTCCATCCGTGGAAACTCTGCAAATTGGCAAGACGAGCGCGCGCGGCGCCACGGCGAGAGTCACATTTTGAAAACCACCCGCCCTCAACGTGTGAAACGGTTGCCAATGCTCAGGCTTATGTTGTTCCCATCCTACTTAAGGACCACATCCCAGAAATAATTTCGAGCACCCGGAAAAGTGCCGAAAGAGTGTCGAAACAGTGTCGGGCGAGTGTCTCCCAGGGCCCGACACGTGAAAACCCTCGAGTTTCGGTATTGTCCTGGTGCTCGAAATTCTTTCTGGTGATCAAGGCTAAAGTAGGTTGGAACACCATAAGCGTAGGCTTCAGGGTCATCAATGGTGAGGGAGTCTCAGGTGAAATGCCCGGCCCGCCCTGAAAACTAGCCTCGGGGATGCGATGGGGAGATGTTATTCGCAAGGAGAAGGAATGGAGTCCTACTCTTACTTTTATCCCGCACACCAGCCGGCGACTCGAGGAGCGTTGCTCTGCTTGGCTCTAGTTTGATCAACCCCTGGCCGACCTGCTCTGGGGGTGGGAGGGCGGCGTCCGTACGACTATATAGCCATCGGTCCGCAGCCCATAGGAAGAGAAGGAGGAGGAGGAAGAGGAGGAGGAGGAGGAAGGAATTAAGAGAAGGAGAAGGTGGTGGAGGTAGGGGGCGAGAGCGAGGGGCATGGCAAGGACGAGGAGAAAAGGAGAGGAGGGGGATGGGGAGGTGGTAGGCAGAGGGGACAGGTGAGCGCTGCCGGGGAGCGCTGCCGGGGCGCTGCCTGCTAGCCTGGGAAGCGCTTCGCAGGAGCTTCGCACGCGCCTGCGGCCTACGCGCTGGGAGCGGATACAGTCAGGACGCTGATGAACAAGGACCAGTTTGGGTCCGGCAGGGGCTCGGTGCTCCCTAGGTCCTTCCATGGCTGCTCCTCCAGCCCCCCTCGTAAACGGAGGCGGCTTTGGGGCCTACAAGGGGCTTCGATCTTCGTTTAGCGGTTCTTACCTCAGCGGCCCGACTGTATGCAAGCGCTCCCCTGGGAGAAGCTGCAGGTTCCAGCAAGTTGCTGCGAGGATGCTTGGCCGGCAGCTGTGGAGAGAGGAGGTTGGCCCGGCCCGGCCTGCCGGCTTCTTCTCTGACGCCCCAGAATGGTTATCTCAAGGAGCCATCCGGGAAGTTTTGTTGCGAGTTTGTTGGCACTCTGTCGTGAAAGTCATTCGATGTCGTGTGTCCTTTGTGGTCCCAGGATCATTCCAATGTCAGCGCGATGAAAGCAGCCCCCTCCAGAGAGTGGGGCTGCAGAGGGGGTGAGGCTCGCGAGGAGGACGAGGAGGACGGCGAAGAGGAGGAGGAAGAGGAGGAGGAGGAGGAGGAGGAGGAGGAGGGGGAAGAGGTGGAGGAGGAGTTGGAGGAAGAGAAGGGTGGGCAAGCCAGGTGCGCTCGCGCCATACCTGACATCCTACCCCTCTCACCCATCCCTTACCATTGCGCTGAGTTCGTTTATATATCCGGCGACGCGTGTCACAGTGGGCCCCAAACGCCAAAGAGGAATACATCGTGTGATGCGCAATCGGGCGAAAGGAAGCTGTATACACTGGGGGAGGAGGAGGCGGCGGATGAGCAGGAGGATGAGCAGGAGGAGAAGGAGGATGAGGAAGGAGGATGACGAGGGGGAACAGCAGCAGCAGCAGCAGGAGAAGAGGAGAGGTTTCTTCAAGTTTGGGAGTGAACGACTTGGTGGTTAGTGCGATGGTGCTTATTGCTGTCTGCTTCCGCACTTAGAAAAGTACCCAGACAGGCCCGCCCAGTCACCATTTCGTAATCTGACACGGCGGTTGGCCAGGTATGCAGGCGGTCCATGCAGGGCCCCCGCCCCGTCAACGAAGATGCGGAATGTTGGTTCGGAGTTTGGGCTTCGTATCTTGTCGATCCAGACTATTTTTGCACACTGGCTCAGCCACCAACTCCCCAGCCATCATTTCGGAACTTCGAAGGGTTCGACGTTTGAGATGTTTGGACGCTTTCGTCGTCCCTCGCCGGTTTTCCAGCCGTGGGATGCTTTTCTCAGCAGTTGTGCCACGCCGAGAGTGTTCCACGGGGTGTCTCGATCGTTCCGAACGGCCGCCGGATATCAAAATTTACGACACGAACGCCGAGGGGAAATGACAGTTGGGGAGAGGGAGAGGGATGAAGAAGATGACGAGAACGAGGATGAGCTGGTGGGAGACGCAGAGCGAAAGGATGAGGGGGAGCAGAATTGAAGAGAAGGAGGAGGAGGACAACAACGACGAGAACGGGAAAGAGGAGTGAGACATAATGGCACGCAGGGGTAAGGGAAAATAATCCCTAGCTTGCTGGAGCGCTGGGCCGAGGATCGCTACTTCATCGTTCTCACAGGCAGCCGCTGTTCGACGATCTGGTGACAGCAGTGGCACGTTTTAGCGACAGTGAAGTATTGAAGACCACGCTAGACATGGCGGTGGTACAGATCGCTGGGCATGGACGGCGATGACGAGACAACGATAGCAACGAGAGACTCGAGAGGGATTATCAAGCATACGATTACAGGAATAAGTCGGCGACGGTGCTTGATAGACGGAGGCGAGAGGCAATGTTTTAATGATGGCCGGAAGCCAGTAGGATATATAAGAGATAATGAAGGCAGCGGAAACCATACACGAGTCCGAAATTGATCTACAACGAGTGCATTCATGAGATTCTGACGGTCGAATTTGCTCCTCCTCCTCCTCCTCCTCCTCACCCGTCTCCTCATCCGACTCCTCCTCCTTCTCCTCCTCCTCCTCCTCCTCCTCCTCCTGTTCCTCCTCCTCCTCCTCCTCCTCCTCCTCCTCCTCCTCCTCCTCCTCCTCCTCCTCCTGTTCCTCCTCCTGTTCCTCCTCCTCATGCGAGTGGTGGAGCAGAGCTAAGCCAGAGCAGGCCACGTCGTCATCCTGGGCTGGAGCGACAAGACCGAGTTCCTTTTGGAAGAGGTCCTCCGGCAGGCCTCCGACGACAACGCGCGCGCCACGGTGGTGATCCTGGCCGAGAGGTCCCGCGTCGACATGAAGCTGGACATCCGGCAGTTCATGCTGCAGGAAGGTTGTTTCGCTGGAAGTCAAACGCCATAAACATATGATTGCGAAGGCCTTACGGCCGGTGCCGCCGACCCTGAAGGGGAACGACGACGGCGGCGGCGGCGGTAGCGACGACGACGATGCTGACGTGGGTTGAGTCCTCAAACGTGCTTCTTGGGGTTTATTCCGAGCGCTCTCAGGGGCCTCTGGGGGGATGTTTGGGGGCCTCTTGGGAGCCTCTTGGGGCCTCTTTGGGCTTCCTGGGGGCCTCTTGGGGGCTTCTCGGGGCTGAGGGCTCGAAATGTCCGTTCGGGACCCCCGTCTGGGCACTCTCTTGGAACCGTCTTGGGGGCCTCTTGTGCCGTCTTGGAGGCGTCTTGGGCCGTCTTGGGGCACTCTTGGGCCGTTTGGGGGCTCTCTTGGAGGCCTCTTGGGCCGTCTCGGGGCGACCTTGGGGGCCTCGTGGGCCGTCTTGGCGCGTGGGGAAGCGGAAGAGGCGAGAACGCCAAAATTCTTGAAAAACGTATGGGAAATCCATGATTTTTGCCTCTTGGGGCTCTCGTGGGAACGGTCCTGGAGGCCTCTTGGGGCGTCTCGCAGGCCTCTTGGGCCGTCTGGAGGCCGTCAAGGCGTCTTGGACAGATCATTCGGCGATTCGGGGCCCTCTTGGATCGTCTTGGGGACCTCTTGGGGCACTCTTGGCCCGTCTTGGGGCTTTTTTGGGCTCCGGGTTCCCCGGGGGGGGGGGTAAAAACCCGGGACCCCCCCAGGACCCACCCCGGGGCCCCCCCCCCGGGCGGGGAAGGGATCAAAGGGAAGGGGCTTCCCTTCGACTCAATTACGACGTTGCTCAATTTCGCTTTGGACTGACACGCTTCAGGAGGAGGCCCTGGGAGAGGGGTAGAAGCAACGACGCTGTGGGGAAAGGGGAAGGAACGACGACGACGACGTCGACGAAGAGGGAACAGACGGAGAAGCCTCTTCCACACGCCGACAGGGTCGGCGGATTTTGGCGTTCCGCGCGGATTTCTTGGATCTGCGCTTGGCCCCCTCGGCGCCGCCCCCGGCGCCGCCCCTGGCGCGCTCCGCGCGCCAGGGAGGGGGGGCCAGCGCGCATCCGAGAAGTCCGCGCGGACCGTTCGCAGTTTCTGTTTGTGCCGTTGTTCTGTTCTTCCAGTGACTCAAACTGGTTCTGAGGGAGGTGGGCCCTGGAGGTTTGTCGCCGTCTTCCACCTCCAGGGGCGCTCCCAGCGCTTGGGAGCGAAGAGAGGGTCTTTGGGGAAGGCCCTGGGTCTAGCGCCCGTTTCCTTCGGGGCCCGGTTCTTTCGCGCGAATGCGACGAATTTTTTCCGATTCTGCACGTGCATCCCAGCCGCGAGGTGGAGAAGCAGGAGGGCAGCGGTGGATGGTGATGACGGTGTTCATGATCATGATTTGGGGGAGGGAAATGAGTTGAGCGTGATGGTGCTGACAACGAGGCGGAGCAGGAGGACGGAATGGAGGAGAAGAGGGGCGACAACATCAAGGACGAGAACGAGCATGAGGGGACGGAGGTAGGGGGACGGGATGGGGAGGAGGTGATGGTGGTGAGGGACGGAGATGACCTCCCCCTTGCCCCATCTCCCCTCACTTTGTCCTTGGACATCCCTCCCTGAGCCTCCCCGCATCCTGACGCTGCTGTACACATCCTCCTCATCCTCCTCGTTCTCTTTCGCCTGCTCCTTCCCCTTCCGTCCAAGGCTGCGGATTTCCCAACTGCAGCCCCCCCCACCCGACCGTCTCCTGAACGCCGTTGTGCCTGCGTGAAGTGCATGTCTCCCCACTCCCCTACTCATCCTCTTCATGCTTCTCATCCTAGCCCCTGCTCCAGTCATCCTACAATCCTGCTGCTGCTAATCAGATTGCCCATGCTGCTGCTCTCAACGATGCTCCTTCCCCTCTTTGCTCCCCCTTTGTCCTTCCCACTCCTCCTCCTCCTCCTCCTCCTCCTCCTCTCCTCCTCCTCCTCCTGCTCCTCGTCCTCCCCCTCCTCCTCCTCCTCCTCCTCCTCCTCCCTCCTCCTCCTCCTCCTCCTCCTCCTCCTCCTCCTCCTCCTCCTCCTCCTCCTCCTCTCCTCTCCTCCTCTCCTCCTCCTCCTCCTCCTCCTCCTCCTCCTCCTCCTCCTCCTCCTCCTCCTCCTCCTCCTCCTCATCCGTAGCCATTTTGGCTCAAGCGGCGCGCGGCGGGCGCATCCATCTGGCCCCAGCCTGCAGCCCGACGGCGGGCGCGGGCGCAGCTGCGGCGGCGAGCGGCCTCTGCGGGCGCGCTCCGTCGCCAGCCTGGCATCGCCGCCTGCGCAGGCGCTGCGCCAGCGCGCGGCAAACGCTGCGCGAGGCTGCGGCCAGGCGGCTCCTGCAGGCGCACCACGGCAGCGCCCCGCCTGCGGAGCCGCAGCACTCGCAGATGCATGGGGAGGTCTGGCCGTGCAAAGCGTCCAAGGCCTGCGGGTTCCGCAACAACTTCTCGAGCAGGACGACGTGCTGGGCGTGCGGCAGGGACAGGGACGGCAGGCCCACGACCGCCCCCCAGCGAGCGCCCAGCCGCAGCAGGAGGCCTCCTTCGCGCGGCGCCGAGGCGCCCTGGCGCGACCGCGCTGATCCTGCTCCTGCTGCTCCTCAGGCTGCTGGTGATGCCGCGCCACAGCAGTCATCAGCAGCGAAGTCCAAGCGAGCATGGCTGGCCTTACGGCGGACCTACGGTGACGAGCATGACCTGGTCATCGCCGCCAAGGCCGCCCACGACAAGGAGGAGTCCCTCTTACGTGCTCAGATGGACCCCATCAGGCCTGTTCAAGAGCGCCAAAGACAGATGGACCGCCAAGGATTCTGAGCGCGCGGCCAAGGCCGCTCAGGTCGAGCAGCTGTCCAAGGAGCTCGCCGACGCTCAGCAGCAGCTCAACAGGCTCGAGGCAGAGACGACCAGCCTCAGCGCGGAGGTCGCCCACGCCCAGTCAGCCGTGGCGGCCGTGGCCGCTGAGGGGGCCCCTGCGATGGCTAACGTCTCGGTCGCCATCCAGCAGCTTCAGGCTGTCCTCTTGTCGGCGCGCGCAGGCACGTCGAACATGGACGGCGCCCAGCTCCTCACCACCATCGAGCAGCAGGTCTCCAACATCGGCCCCTTGGCGACAGGAGCTTCGCCACCGCGGGCATCAGCTGCGCCACCTCTGCAGTCAGCCGCAAATCGCCCCCCAGTTCAGCCAGCAGGACATGGCGATCAGATGCCCGTCGAACGTGCAGCATGGGAGAAAGCGGGCGGCGACAGCTAGGAGGGCCCCACGAGGCTCCGAGCGCAAAGATATTGCAGCTGCTACCTTCAACGGTTCTTGTTGCGATACCTGCAGGACCTTTTTGGCGGAGGGTACGACAGGGGTCAATATCGCGCGCGCCCAGGAGTTGCGACTTGATGGGGGGGGGGGGGCGTCTGGCGCAGGCGCGGTCTTGGGCTCGACGCAACGGTTGGCAGGCCTTCGTCACGCCCTGTCGCAGATTACCTACAGGCTTGCCCAGTGCAGGCACAGGGGTCTTTGTGTGCTCTCACTTACCAGCCACCGTCGTCGGGGGACCCGATGGCAAAGCTACCCATGACATCACACCAGCCTGGGCAGTGGTCATACACGTTGTTGTGGGACTTACTGGAGGGCTGCTGGTGGGATCTGTCTACATGGAGTGCGCGCACACGACCAACTATCTTCCAGCCAACTACGACCGCTACTTAAATTTGTCTCGGTTTCTCAGATACATGAACAAGCCCTTCATCATCGCAGGCGACTGGAACATCAACCCCCAGGACTACCTGCAGATGGGGCTGCCCGAAATGCTACCTGCCGCTCTCACATACACCAAGGAGGAGGGCACCTGTCGCACACCGAAGGGCGAATACAATAACATCGACTACTTCATCACGTCCCCTGGCCTTGAGACGACATGCCGATCGCCGACCACGATGACGACGTGGCCAGCTCGACCTCACAAGCCCGTCCTCACCTACATCAAGGCCAAGCCGAAGACTATGCAGATCCTCAGCATCAGTGCCCCCCAGGGCTCTGCCCAAAGGGCCTCCTGCCACGGAGGGCTGCCGTCCTCTATATGGCCCGATCCCCACACCAGACTACCTGGACATTGTGGACAGGGACGCGCAGCGAGGCCCACCCGCTTCCAAGGAGGGGGCGATCGGCCGCATGGATGCCCTGCACGGCCAGTTCATTTCTCACGTCGAGAGCGAGCTCATCGGCATCTACCAGGTTGACGATCCTGGTTCTCATCGTGGCCGTGCAGATGGGGCCAAGTATACTTGGCGCCCGATTGGAGGTCCCAGGACTGGTCCTCATCCCGCTGGAGGCAGTGAGTCTCGATATCTTCGCGCAGTGGGTCAGGCGGTGCTGGGCCGGGTTGCTGACTTTCTCTTCGACTTCGGCGTCGCCTCGCTGCAGCAGCTGGCGAGCGCACACCCCTGCCCTACTACTACGAGGCACACGAGTCCAGAAGACGGTCTACGTCCAGACCCTCAGCCTTCACTTGCGATCCCGAAGACGGCAGCGGCGAGCTCGGTCCCACAGGTGGATCTGGGAAGCTGGAGGCGCCTCGCCGCCCCTGGAGATATGGGACGACCCCCTCCCCCTGACGACGTGGATCAGGATGGCCCCGAGGAGGAGTTCAGGGAGGCGGCCGCAGCTGGTGCTACCCGATGGATGCCTGACCTGTCGGACGCTGAATCGGGAGGGCGCTCGTGGCGAGGATGGTGCGTCCCCTACGTGGTGGAGTGCTTGCGGCTACCTCAACACGTTGCATGGGTAGCAGCAGTCCTCGCGGATGGCAATTTCAATTCTTTGCGCGAGCTAGCAGATGACATCTGCAAGGACGCCTGGGGCCGTTCTTCCTGAAAACCGCGCTGCCATCATATCCTACTTGGACTGGCTGGCCATACATGACATACCACTTGGGAGACGGGTGATCAGTCACCATTGGGACGAGCTCGAGGCGATC